CCCCAGATGCCTGTTGGGGCCTGGGTTTCAGCTGTCCACACCAGCAGTGGGCAACGAGCTTAAAGCCTTCAGCTGTCCACACCAGCAGTGGGCAACGAGCTTAAAGCCCCTGATGGCTCTGGGCGCTGACTCTCACCAGTGGCTATGGATGAAGTCACAGGCGATTTTCAGCCAGCGCCTGTTCACTGACATTTTATGGAGGTGACGCCACATGTGACGTGATCATTGGAGTTTGATCTAGTAGCCATGACCCTTACTTTCAGGAGAAGCCCTTCCCATGTACCCCAGGAATTCAGCCTGAATTGCCTCTCCCTATTTTTTATATATCCTAGAGAGAAAATCTGCTTCCTTTTCTTTCTCTGGCCCTTCCTGGAAACCTCAAGAAGGTAGAGAACACATCCCACCAGCGGAGGATCAAGCCGTTCAAGCCTCTCTGGTTCCCATCTCTGCGTTATCCAGGGATTCCCCCTCTTCCCCAGATGGGATGAGCTCCAGTACTCTGACCAGCCCCCAGGAGCCATCCTGGGTCAGCAGCCACAATGAATCCCTGAGCGATGCCAGTGAGGGGCCTGAGTACCTGGCCATTGGCAACTTGGATCCCCGAAGCCGGACTGGCAGCTCTCAGAGTCACAGCAGCAACGCCGAGAGCAGCAGCTCCAATTTGTTCTCTTCCAGCAGCTCCCAGAAGCCAGGTTCTGCTGCTTCTTCTCTAGGGGACCAGGAGGGAGGTGGGCAGAACCAGCTGTCTAGTGTCCTTCGCAGATCCAGCTTTTCAGAAGGGCAGACACTCCCTGGTGTCACAAGTGGAACAAAGAAGAGTCACACTCGCTCGCATTCGGATACCAACATTGTCTCCAGTGGAGCCCCAGGTAATGAGAAGCTCCAGCCTTCACTTTGGGAACTCTGGTGGCCTAGTGCATAGGGAATTGCACTGTGAACCTAAAGGTTAGCAGTTCAAACCCTCTAGCTTCTCTGAGGGAGAAAGATGGGCAGTCTCCTCTGGTGTGATTTACTGCCTCTAAAAACCTCCTAGAGGGTCAGATATGAGTCAGTTCTGCCTTAATGACAATGGGGAGAGCTCTGACTTGGCATGGTGGCCTTTTGAATTGTCAGGAAGAGAAGTTATGTTTCTGATGACATGATGAGCATCCTACTTAAAATGAAAAAGAAATTTGTAATACAGATACTAAAGAAATGTCTGAGAGCATCTCTCTGTTTACTCATTTGTATTTTGCTAACTAATATTTTCAAAGGTTCCTTCCCTAGTTCTTCAGAAAGAAGAACATTTCAAGTTTTAAATGTGTCTCAAACTGAGGGGAGGTACTAATGAGCTTTAAAAAGAATCTCATTAAAATTCCACCTCTTTCTGTGATTTCTTAGAAGTTTTGTCAGGACAGAAGTTAAATATGAGAAGAGCAAGGTGGTATTTGGTTTCCTGAATAAAAGTAAGGGGTCCTGGTGGTGCAAACCTCAAGCAGTTGGCTACTAATTGAAAGGTTGGCTGTTTGCACTCATCCAGTGTCTCCACAGGAATCTGCCCCTGTGAAAACTATAACCTAGAAAACACTGTGGGGCAGTTCTGCTGTTTCAGAGTCACTGTGAGTCAGAATTGGCTTGATGGCGCCTTCCACCAAGGACAGCTATGCCTTACGGGTGGAGTGAGTGTGGGTGACGTGACCCAGTAGGTAGATGGGGCTGACTGCTGCCTCACCAATTCAGGCTGAGAGGTTGTCAGGTAAGGAGGCCCTGGCCAGTGATACTGCCCACAGAAATGCCAAATGCTGGTTCTCACGGGAGCGGTGAGAGCCTTCCCCTGGGCAAGGTGGCTGTCACTGCTTTTGCCCTTCCCTGCCTTATCTTTCCCAGGCTTTTAGTATCCAGCAGGCTTTGGTTGGGCTTGTTGTAGAAGAATCACTGTAGTTGTAAGTAGAACATGGACCTTTGTGCTTACAGAGCGTTCTGAGTGACGAAGTTCCAGAAATAAAAGAGAAAAAGATATACCTCTCCCTAAAAAAAAGTTCTCTCTAGCAAGTCGCTGGAGCTGCCACTGACTAGCAGCTCTTGTCTGAATGAAAACCCTTTGCATTTTCCCTCAAGAATCTGGTTTGACTTACTAGAACTGTTTTGGGGAAAAAATTGTCCCCAACTCAAAGCCTGTCTTTCCAGCAGCTTCCTTAGATGTGAAATGTACTTGGGTTAGAGTCTTGCTTCACATCTCATGCTGCAGGCCTGGAATCTCATGTCCTTTCAGGCCACTGGCCTTTGAGCATGTAAAACTTACTTCTCTGCCAGCATTCTTGAATCCATGTGGCTTCCTGAAACTGCAGCAACCTGCACTGGGAAAGGCAGCGAGCAGAAACCCGTGCAGAGTGGTCAGAGGGAGTGCGGCTCAGGCAAAGCCTTCCATGCATGTCACCCTCCTCCGACACCAGGCTTCCCTCTCGAGAGTTAGGTGCCCGCCTCTGGTGGGTAAAAGACACTTCCCCCCGTCCCCCTCTGTTCTTGTTTGCTTTGTCTGGACTCTTCTCTGTCCCTATCTGTATCTACAGGAGGCCCCAGGAATATCACCATTATAGTTGAAGATCCCATTGCAGGTTTGGGAGCCAGCCACCTATTTTTGTCTTCTGCCTCCTGTTCGTTCTGTTCTGTGACCATCTTGCTTGCTTCAGAGCCTCCTTTTGCATTCTGGTGTGAGGTCAAGTCCAACTCGTTGGTCCTGCTGTGATTGATGCTTAAACCTGTCTGTAAAGCAAGACCAGTAATTTGTACATATTTTCTGCCTACAACTTCCAAATACCAGCTTCAGTCTCCCAGCCGCTTCTGAGAGGTGGAGCACGAATTTTCAATTCTTTTTAACCCAAAGGTGAAACTGGGGCCTGCTGTTTGTGCAAGGCATTAAGGATGAATCAGTGGCAGAACCTTTCTTATAACTGGGCACTTATCATTGGGTTACCTTAATTTCCTTTGGTTAACACCAGAATGTGTGTTCTCCCCTTTCTGTGGTCTTTGATGTAGGTGCATGTATGTTGCACTTCTCTTTCCTGTCATCTGTCTTCTTTCTCCCAGCATCCCCTCCTCCCATTCTAGCCATTGCATCAAATTTTGCTAGTGACATTAAGCCTTTTTATTTGGTTTTCATGGTGGTGGTTAAACTGAGAATTGTGTCCCATTCTGGATACCATAATTCAAGGAAATATTCATACAAGAATACATCTGTAAGATGGAACGGTGGGGGAGCATAAATCCCCTGCCTTTCTGGGAGTGGGTGCAGCCACTGAGTATGTTAGTTTGGAAAAGAGAAGGCCAAAGAGAAAGAAAGTCTTCAGGACTGCTGTTTAGGTGAGCTTTGTTCTGAAAGGAGAAGGTAAGTCTGTCCTTTAGAAGGGCTTTCTCATTATTAAAGGAGGCGAGGAATTATAAGAAGATAGATTTAAAGTAAGTTTCAGGAACCCTCTAAGATACGGAGCTGTCCATCTGAATGGACAGAGGCAGGAGGTAGTGAGCCAGGAAGCAGCTGGGGTTCATGCCATGCACTGAGTTTCACTGGGGGTCTCAGAGGCCCCTCCCAAATTCCACGGTTTCTTGCAGAGACATTGTGGCAACTGCTGGTGTGGCCTCACTTCAGCAGGGAGGAGCAAGACCAGGGCCACCAGAAATCCTTATGGTCCCTGGGGAACACACTGTCTCTTAGTATAGCAGTCTCTTTGAGGGAAGAACAGCTGACGGGTTGGCCCACCCTGCCAGGGGAATGGGTTGGATGAGCCAGTTTATTTGCCCAGAGCATGCTGCTCATTTCTTAGGCACCTCCCTGCTTTTCCACCTGCCCATCCATTTGTAGCAATGGAAAAATTTGTGTCTTCTTTTGGAAAATACAAGTTTCTCTTTTCTAAGAACCCTGGCTACTGCTGTTTCTCTTACTCCCAGCTTTTGCTATTTCCTGAAAACTTCCACCAGGTGCCTCCTGTGTTGCTAGCCTTCTCTTGAAACCTCTCCCTTCTCCACTAATTCTGTGCCCTTGGCCCCCAGGCTGAGCCATTTGGTCTCTTAAGTTACAGCCATTCTCCATCGTCCTTGCTTTCGCAAGCATTGTTTTGGTGCTTCTTTTAACGATATTGCTACATTTTTATTTTGTTATTTTGCCAATTCAGAATTGGGTTCAATTTATAGGTTGGATGTATTTACATTTTCAGTTCCATTACAGGTTATACCTTGTTATTTGTTTGATATAAGAGAGTAAATTTTCTGATGATGTTTTAAAAGCTAGTGTCACAACCAAAAGCTAGTATCAGAGTATCAGAAAAATGTGTTTTAGAAATTGGCTTGTCAAAAGGGTAGAAATTCCCGAGACATTTGGAAAGAAGAAGGAAGAGAATTAAGTTCATGAACCTGGTTCCGTTTGATTGTTTTTCACATTTATGTTGCCCATTCTGGATCGTGTTTCTCTTTCACCTTGGATCACTCTGACTCCCCGTTTCCTTTCCTCCATGTGTTCCTGTACTGTCGGGCTGTTCCCTGTTGATGTGCCACCTCTCTTGTATTCCTGAGGGCATTGGAATGGGAGCAGTTACATGTTGAACTGCTGAAGTTAGGAATGCATTTGTTACTCACCTATGTGTTTGTTTTTACTCCCTGGTGGTCACTGGTACCAGAGTCCTGCAATGATAAGTCCAAGTTAAGAGGGCCCTTGCCCTACTCTGGCCAAAGCAGTGAAGTCAGCACACCCGGCTCACTGTACATGGAGTATGGTAAGTGAGCCTCGTACCAAGGGGCCAGAGCTGCACTTCTGCCTTTTCTGGGCTCTGCCCTTCGACCTGCTAAACTCTGAGCTTCGTGGTTCTTTTCATCTCTGGCTGATACACACGTTCTCACCCTCCCTTTCATCATTTTCAGTCCCTGAGTCAGGCCTCACACTGGTCTGTGGTTTCTCCTGTCCCCCCTCTGACTCAGGGTCCCACCCTCTCTCACACTGTGGTATTAACACCGCATCTGTCTGTTGATCCAAATGGAATTGCTCTGAGTGGATGAGTGACACCTTGAAAAAAGACCTTGGAGTAGCTGGGCTTAGTTACCAGAGGATAATTTCCACACTGAAGTTGTCCAGGGCAGAGAGCCATTTATATTCTTTCCTAACTCTTGGGGGGGGGGGGAACTTTTTTTTCTTTCTTGTTTTTCTTGGAGGCTAGAAGGGAGTGTGTATCATCTTTAAATATAAGTGGTCAAATGAAACCACCTGAAGCTCAGTTCATTCCATGTATTCCACCATTCTCTAAATGAGGTATTTAATGTCCTGGGATTTAAGATTCAGTTTCTTCAGAAGGTAGATTTCCCCCAGCCTCTGTTTCCCTGTTACCTAGGCAGACCTAGCATCTTTAGTAGTAACCACTCCAGACTTCCTGAAGCAGTGCAACTGTTAGCGGCTTGTATTCCAGTACAGAGCTTTTTTACATCTGCAGTTTGTTTTCTCCCACTCACCAGGAGGTCAGTACCTGTGCTCGGGAGAAGGCATGTTCCGACGGCCGTCAGAGGGGCAGTCCCTCATCAGCTACCTCTCTGAGCAGGACTTTGGCAGCTGTGCAGACTTGGAAAAGGTGAGGAACTGAAGGGGCTAATGAGGGGCTCATGAATTGAAAGGATCTGGCCTGAGGGGCTCTGGTGTTACTAGGACCTATGAGGTTTCCTGTACACAGCAGTTACATGAGTTTAGACTACAATAAAGATAAGTTCAACAAGTTCTGTATCAGAAGAAATCTTTAGGAAGCAGTATGTGTTCCTCATTGAATTAAAACAAAACAAAACAAAACAAAACAAAACACTGTTTCTTTGTCTCAGAAGCTATCTTGAGCAGTGAGGCACTGAATCTTGTCTACCTTATTGCTGATAGCCCTTTGACTCTAGACCTGTAGGTAAATACTATTTCTGGAATCACCTTCTCTATTTTGTTCTAAAGCTCGGATATGTAATAAATGTATGCAGCATTTTATAGTTTACAAAACACTCTATTGTTGCTGTTGACCGCTGTCTAGTCGAGCATGACTCATAGTGACCCAATGAACAAAAGGCCTGAAGTCTTTCTCTAACTGCGGACATTTATCAAAGTTCACAGAGTTTCGGAGGCATGTTGTTTAGGAAGTGGATGCCACTCCTGCTTCCAAACTCTACTGTTCGACGTTGTATCTAATGGCTCCTGTGGGAATAACTTCAGGACAGACCTTGATATGAAACCCTGGATTGCTTTGCTTTCATATTTTTACGTCCAAAGTGAGAAAAGAAGGAAAAGGGCCAGCCAGGTGTGAGAGCAAAGGGAATCCAGAACAGGTTTTCTGGCCTTTAGCTTGCCTTGTGTTAGAAATGTGCATTTCTCCCTGGTGTTTTGAATTAAAGCTCTTAGTTTTCCACATTATAACCAGTGAGATGTTTAGTACTCCTGGACCCTCACCATCTCGTGTGGTGTTCTCGTCCCTCCGCCCAGGAGAACGCCCACTTCAGCATTTCCGAGTCCTTGATCGCTGCCATTGAGCTGATGAAGTGCAATATGCTGAGCCAGTGCCTGACGGAGGAGGAGGGGGAAGACAGTGACCAGGAGATCCAGGAACTCAAACAGAAGATCCGGCTCCGCCGTGAGCAGATCAAGAATCTGCACCCTGGATACGGGGAGACGGAGCATGGAAGTAAGCGAGGCCTGTGAGGGCGTGCTCTTCCCCTCGAGTTCAGAGCTTCACTCTGAGGATCACTGCCTCCTGGAATTTCTTTTCATCTTCGTTTGTGATGTTATTACCAAGCCAAGGAATCTTCTGCTGTCAGAAAGAGATTTCTATGCTGTTCTGATTTCCTCCCAACTCCTGCAGACTTGGAATGCTGGATCTTGTCCATTTCTTATCTCAGAAACAACTTCCTTTCAAAATAGATTTCAAAATAGATTTCTGATAAGAGCATGCAGGTCACTGGGCCCAGATTTCCCTCTCAGATAGACATGCTTTCTGTTTACACAAGGCCAGCTTGGGCGGGTAAGCTGACAAGAAAAGCTAGTTTCCACTTCATCTGCCAATATTCTCTTGGCTTCTGTCGGCTAAGGCCATACCAGATTCCTTTAATTTTGACCCCAAAAGGAATAGGAGACCTCGTTTCCTCCTCTTTTACCTTTTCTCCCTCTTCCCATAATAGGCTTTCGAGTCACTTCGAGCAGCTCCCAGTTCAGTTCACGTGATTCCACTCAGTTCTCTGACTCTGGCTCCGCTGATGAGATTGATGAATTGGAAATCCAAGGTAAGAAATAACACTTTGTTACAAAAAGAGCTTTCAGGAGCTGTTTCTTTCAGTTTGAGATCAGGCTGAAAAGGTTCCCCCTCAGGAGGGATCATTATGGGCCGTCATGGAATATTGCTGCCTATTGGAAACCCTTTTAAGATGCAAGCAGAGAAGAACACTGACAGGAGGCAGTCCATGTCGGGTGGGCTTGGCTCTTGACGGTACCCTGATGTTTCTTCGGCACATTGCACCTTTTTTTGGCATCCTCACTCTTAATTCTTCATTCTTGTAACCAAAGACTGGCCTAAATCTACATGAAATAAGAGTCCTTTTTTCTGTGTGTCATAACACAACTCAAATGGTTTTTAAGTTTTCAGAAGGAGCTTTGTATTTTGGTTCTAAGAGAAGAGAACATAAAGGATCGTTAGGGGAGGAGAGGAGGAAAACAATCAAGTTTATAAAGTAGACTCTTACTTTTTGTCCAGCCAGGGCTATCTTGCTTCCCAGAGTCCTAGCCTCTTGTTGGAAGCCTGTATATAGAGAAAGGGAGAGGTTATGATCTGGGAAGATTATTCTGTTCCTTCAGGTTAGTATCTCGTTCCTGCAATCACAGAGATCTTCAAATTCCCAGCAGTGAAGAAATCGTAACACACACACACACACACACACACACACACACACACACACACACACCCAGGGACATAAGTTCTTCCCCACTGGGTAAAACCAAGTTATATTTCCTTAACAGAGGGGAATTGTGTTTAAGTTCTTCCCCTACAGGTAAAACCAAATAATGCTTCCTTAACAGAGGGGAATTGTGTTTGTAATTCTCCTTTGTAACATCATGATGACCAAGTCTTTCATTGCATTAGGCTCTGATTTCCTGTCTTCACCAGTCTGGAGGATGAATTCACCCATGCAGATGTCTACGTTCAGTAGCTGGATTTTTCTTCTATTCAGAAATTCCATTTTTATACATATTTTTTCCAGGTCTCTAGGAAGTGACTGTGTTCTCCTTAACATATTTCCCTTTATACCAATAATAAATAGTCACTTAAAACTCCATTCTCTCTCTGCTCCTTTTTAATTTTGTGATTGACTTGATCTTCCAAGTAGAAGAAAATAAAAAGGTTCTGTCCTCTCTGAGTCAGCAGTCAGAATTTTGTGAGAGTAGTGCTAATTTAGGGGAGCTGTGGTGGCCTAGAGACAAGAAGCCTTGCTGCAATCCTGAAGGCATGCGGTTTGAGGCCACCGGCTGCTCTGTGGGAGGATGAGCAATCTCCTGTGCGATTAACTGCCTCTGAAAACCCACTGAAGGGTCAGCTATGGTCGGTTCTAGGGTGCACAACAATAGTGCTAATTTAAATGCAGAAGCTGCTGCTTTCATCCACCCTGTGAAGCACAGAACCAAGGGATGATGTTCAAGTCTAAAAGGAGTCTCTTCCTGTTGCAAACTTCCAAGCTCAAAGGCCATGCAGAATCAGCCTCACTCTCCAGTCAGGCCTGTGTGGAAATCCTGAAAATGAGAGACCTCAGGGCAGGGATTTGCAACCACTAGATGTGATGATTCTTTGCTGTGAGAGGCTGTGCATTGAAGGATAGTTAACTTCATCCCTGGCCCTTACCCAGTAAAGGCTATTTAGCAGCCACCCCAATAGTGACAACCAGAAAACATGTCCAGACATTGTCACATTAGCCTCAAGGGAGCAAAACCTCCCTGGTTGGGAACCATTACTTGAGCAGATGACCAAGGCTCGGCTGGTTTGGGGAAGTGGCCGTAACTTTCCCAACCTATGATGGGCACCTGCCTGCAGGTACAAGTTCCTAACCCACTTCATCTTTTGGAACAAAGGTAAAATAATTGACCCTGGAGTCCCATGTACAGGACTGCAGTTCTTGCTGGTTTACTTCTCTGACCAAATACTAAAGGGCCTCCTTTTGTAATCATTGTCACACAGATGGTAGCGAAGGATCTAACCTGGCTCACATGTCAAAGAACGGACTCTCAGTGTCCATGGCTTCGATGTTTTCAGGTAGCCTGTGCTGGAAGTGTGGGTGTGCTCGTGTGTGCCTGGGTGTGAATGTTACACCAGCTTTTGTCCATACGTGATTCCTGTTGTGACACCTGCCAGGGTTATGAAGACTGCAGAGTCTGGACAACTAGTAGAGAAGAACAGGACTTTAGCCAGTTAACAAGCCAGGAGCAGTGAGTCTGTTTACTTATTAAGCCAAGAACAATTTCAATACTTTTTTTTCTTCTGGACTTCAGCCAGTTCACAAGCTAGGGACAATTTAGTTACTCATTCTCTTCCTCATGTGACCCAAACAGTTCTCAAAGAGTGTGTGGATCCTTCTCAAAGAGTGTGTGTATCTTTCCCAACAATGATCATTTTAGAGTAAGTGATCAGTGTGGCAGATAGAAGTTGTAGACCATTTAGAAAAGACTGAGCCAACTGAAGAATTCTAATTCAGACCTATAGCTAAGCTGTAAACGCAGACATCAAAAGTAGGATATGGTGGCATGAAGCTTAGTGTCTCTTTAAAGTCATGAATTAGCAGAATCAGTGTTCAGAAAGCTCTTTTCTAGCTAGTTTGTATGCAGTTAGGATTTACCACTGGAAGCATGAACTTTCATGAATACTCTGTAGGCTGTCTATGGGCGGGATAAACAAGAACAAAAGAGCAGTTTCTGCTCAGCAAAATTCAAGAGTTGTTAACAAATAGTTATTAACGTCAGCCACTGAAGTTGAAAACTGATGAAAAATTAGATCACTATTTAAAGAACAGTAATTAGATACCTTTTTCCTCTACACCTGTTTTGATTTATTCTAACCTTGTTCTTCCCCTGGGTGAGAAGTAGTAGTTACCCAGTCAGCCCTTAACTGGTTTCTGATATGTTTATGCTCTCAGTTCTTTGTGCCTACATGTCTTGATTGTCAACCACTTCTCTATCAGAGCATTTCCAATCTGCTTCTCTGTAAAGCATATCTTTCTTTACTTAGTCATCTTAGCACCTTTTCTTCTCCTTTTCATGGACTTTTAATTTTTTCTCCTTTTACCTACTTGTTAAAAATTTTTTATTTTATTAATTCTAATAAACATTTACAGAGATTATGGATTTCCATTCATTCATTGTTGCACTTTTCTCCCTGTCCAGCCTCCCCCCTCCAGTTCGCTCCTCTCTTTGAAAAGTAAAAGAAAAATTCTTTCATTGGTATACAATCTCTGGACTTTTAAAATTTTTATGCACCTGACAGGTTTTATACCAAGAATATAAAAAAGGTTTTCAATTAAAAATTTCTTGTGACCCATGCAATTCCAGCAGTTTTGTTAGTGTTGGAGGGGCAGGTTGTAAAATAATCACAACAAGGATCTCTCAAAAGTAGCAGCTTAAATATTACTTCTTTCTCACACACAAATTCTTACTGAAATATCATTTACAATTAATCTTTTTCTACTCTGACTTGTTTTGTTGTTCTTCATCTGTTTCTGGTTTTTAATCACCTCAAACTCATCACTGGTACAAATTCTTTCTTAAAACATATCGTACTTCTCATTTAACAATCTTCTTGATCATATCCATAACTTCTTTTTTACCATACTAAGTAATTTATGCTATTGAAAAGTTCTTGGGATAATGTTAAGCAGAAGGTCATCAGAATGCATAAAACCCTTGAAAAAAATTAAAAGTATTCAAACTTTTTAAAATTAAATTTTATTCATTTTAATGAACATTTACAGTGATTTTGGGTTTCCATTCATTCATTGTTGCACTATTTTCTCTACCCCCCTCAGTTCGTTCCTCTTTTTTCTCCCCCTTGAAAGTCTGTTTTAATTGTCCAATTGCCACAGTGCTTGTCAAAGCCAATTCTGATTAATCTCCTTTGTCAGTGTGTCCTTTGCCATTCCCTGTCACTCCTCCCTGAGAGAGACTTCACCCTGATTCATAAGGGAAAGGGGATGGCGTATTCTCTTAGCTACTTCCTGCTGAAAAGGGATGCTGTAGGTTTCAGGGTGAAGATCTTCTCTCACTACTCTAAAGGGCCCCTTTTGGCAATAGGAAACACATAGACTATGGTGGAGATTGATTTTGGAATTTAGATGCAATGTTATCAATTGTGCTTAGCCATACATGTTCATATCCTTGAAGATGTATCGTGGAACTGTTGTAGCCTAGAAGACACAAATTTAACTAACAAGTTAAAAGTACATGAGTCAAAAATGAAAAGCAATAATATTCCAAGTAGAGGTTCTAATAGTGGCACAAATCAAGTTACAGAGGGAAGGTAGTTCTTACAATAAAAAGTCTATTGACTAGCACTTTGTCTATTATAGTATAAAGGTTAGGAACCACAAGATGTAGAGGCTCAACTATGTCATTTATTGTTCTTAAATCCTGGACCAAATTTCATATACCACTGGGTTGTTTTACACCTCAGAAGTCCACATGCAAGGCAGAGGTGAAGTAAGGAACTGCTGATGAGGTTTTCTGTCAATTCCAACAACTAAGAAATAGTGAGAAGAGCTGGGACCTCAGAAGGCTTTTAAGGACCAAATAGTAGGCTCTTGTGTCCAGGAGAAAACTAATATACTTACCAGTAATGTTAATACTCACCCACAGCTCTTCTGGGAGGATCTAAATTGTTGAAGCGTCCTCCTTTGTTTCCAGCTGGGAGTTGGGGCCTGTCAGCCATGAGGACCTGAAGTGGGCCACCCTTGGCCAAGTGTCCTTAGATCCATACTTAAAGCAAGTGAGTGGGAGCTTCCTCTCTACTCCTTTGCCTATCTGTGGCTCTCGTCTGTGACACTGTCTACTGAAGTGGCCCAGCTTTCCATAGTGGAAGCAATTCTGACCTCCTTTATTACCTTTGGGTGGTACTGTTTATGAGTAAGACTTCCTTTTCCTGACACAGGGACTAAACTGGCAGCAGTAGCTGCCCCAATAATTTTCGTCATTCTCTGGTCTTTTCTCTTCCCTCTAGATCCCAGTTGTTAAAAGAGGGAAAAATTTAAACAAA